AATTATTCAATAGAATCACTGGAAAACTATAGAGTTTTCCAGCGACAGCGCTGGGATTTTCTATGAATTTTTTTACCTACGTGTCAATGATAAATATGTCGAGAAAAAGGAAAAGACTTTTAGATCATTAGATTGTGCATTCATTATACTATTGATTATAATATGTTCGATTTTACATTCCTGACAATTATTACAAAATGCGAGGAGCTACCGTATTGAGAACCCCTTTCCGGTTATCGACAAATTTATGCTCGGGCCCTATCATACCAACAGTTTCGTACGCTCCATCGTAGTCCATGCGCCACCGCTACGATTTTTGTTGTTGAACACTTTACATTGGCCCTGTTCATCTCCCCTATAATCTCTGGTACGGCTGCAAAATTAGTTCATGCGCCACCGCTATGAAATTTTGCGGCTGAAGCTTCTCCATAAGCGCTGGCAATCTCTCCTATAATCTCTGTTGGCAGCATTATTAGCTTCCCGCGCAATCTCCCCCTCTTATTATGTTAATAGTGCTATACTGCATTGTGCTACTCATTGCGATCAGTATGCTTGCTTATTAAGAGATAACAAAAATGATTGGATGTACATTGATGATGCCGTTATTTGAAAAATTCGATGGCCGCGGAACGCTAAAGATGTGTATATATTATTTTTGGAGAAAAAGAATGAAAATTCGAAGAAAAATTAATTTTGGTGAGACTGCAGAAACCTATTTTTTTCCTTCACAAGAATGCCATGTGTAATATATTTGGTTCATTTAACATAGATGATTAGTAAGTCGTTGAAATTCTATTTCATCACGCTGTGTGAAAAAGTAATTTTTTAGGCCTAAAAAGTCCCTTTTCCGCACATTGTGATGAAAAATATCATTCGATACTCGTGGGAAAAGTGTTTTTTGGCTCGTGGGAGGTTTATAGCACGAGCCGAAGGCGAGAAAAACCCTTTCCGCACTCGTAACGAAATATACTATTCCATNTGTTTTTTGGCTCGTGGGAGGTTTATAGCACGAGCCGAAGGCGAGAAAAACCCTTTCCGCACTCGTAACGAAATATACTATTCCATAAAACGTACGATCAAACAGACCTTCGTCTGTTTACCACACTCCCAATATCGATATTTTCATGCGTAATACCTAATATTTTGTATCGATACTTGCCCATCGAGGCATTGGGTGTATCGATATTTGGCTAGTATTGTATTGATTTTTTTTTTCGAGGAGAGGGTCATAAGCGGAAGATCGAATTTCACGAGAGCTGAACGTCACGAGAGTCTCGAACGTTATAAGGCGATGATGAATTTTCAGAAGGGTCAAACATCACGAAGGTCATAAGGGGATGGTCCAATTTCACGAAGGTCGAACGTCACGAGGGTCACAAATGTCGCTAGGACATGATCGAATTTGACTAGGGTCAAAAGGGAATGGTCAAATTTTACAAGGGTCGAACGTTATGAGGGTCACGAGGATCACACAGGGATAATCAAATTTTTTCGAGAATCAAACATCACGAGAGTCACGAGGGGATGGTTGAACTTCACAAGGCGAAGACCGTTACATGTGTCGCAAAGGGGTGGTTAAATTTCACGATGATCGAACATCATGAGGGTCACAAGGGGATGGTCAAATTTTATGCGGGTCACGAGGATCCCAAGCGAATGGTTAAATTTTACGAGGTTCGAACGTCGCAAGGGTCACAAGAGGTTGATCTAATTTCACGAGGGTCACAGAGGAATGGTTGGATTTTACGAGGGTCCAACGTGACGAGGGTCCCGAGAGGATGGTTCCACTTCACGAGAGTTACAAGGAGATGGTAAAATTTCGTGTGGGTCACACGGGAATGGTGAAATTTCACGAGGGTAAGAAGGGGATGGTCAAACATCCCAAGGGTCACTAGGGTCACGAGGGTTACAAGGAGGTCGTCAAACGTTACAAGGGTTGAACTCCACGAAGGTCACGAGGATTACAAGGGGGTCATCAAATTTTACGGGGGTCAAACATTACGAGGGTCATGAAGGTAACAAGTGGATGGTCAAACATCACAACGGTTGTACTCCACGAGGATTACAGGGGATGGTCAATGTCACCAGGGTCAAACCTAACGAGGGTCACAAGGGTTACATGATGATGATCAAACATCACGAGGATCACAAAGGAATAGTTAAATTTTACGAGGCTCAAACATCCCGAGGGTCCCCAGAGGATGGTTAAACTTCACGAGGGTTACAAGGAGATGGTGAAATTTCATGTGGGTCACAAGGCAATGATGAAATTTTACGAGGGTCACAAGAGGACGGTTAAATGTCACGAGGGTTACAAGGAGATGGTCAAATCTCAGCAGGTTCACAAGGTCGGTCGGGGGTCAAACATCACGTGGGTCACAAGAGGAGGGTCAAATGTCACGATGGTTCCAAGGGTCACAGAAGATGATCAAATTTTATGAGAATCACAAGGAAATGGTCAAATTTCACGGGGGTCAAATAACACTAGGGTTGACCTTCATGAGGGAAATCCTCAGGTTTTCTAGGAAGTTCGATGAAATTCTATGGTTTTATAAAAAAATAAGAGAAAATTCTTAGGGACCCCAAGCAATGATTAAATTTCACGAGGGTTGAATGTGAGACTTGTGAACTGCCTGACCCTTGTGATGTTTGACCATTCCCCTGTTACCCTCGTGACCCTCGTGATGTTTGACCCCCCTGAAATTTGATGACCCCCTTGTGATCCTCGTGGAGTTCAACCCTTGTGACGTTTGACGATCCCCTTGTGACCTTCGTGGCCCTAGTGAAGTTTGACCATCCCCTTGTTACCCTCTTGACCGTCATGAAATTTGACTACCCCTTTGTTACCCTTCTGAACTTCTGGATGTTTGACCCTCGTAAAATTTGACAATCCTCTTGTTACCCTCGCGATGTTTGACCCGCGCGAGATTTGTTATGAAAACCAAAACATTGGAGCAAATGTGTTAGTGCAAGTTTGAAAAATATCCATATTTCGTGTATCGATTGTAACGAGATTTTCTCGTTACGGTAAACTGTTTTACCAACACTAAAACCCATGAGTCAACAACAGAGTGAGGGAAAGCGTAGAGAGCGACATCTAACGCCAGCTGAAGAAGCTGAGCGCGAGATGAGAGTGACATCGAACGGCGGATAAAGTGAACCGCGCGTGAGATGAATAGACCAATCAAATAATGCTAAGAGGCACCACCGGCTTGGGTACAGTCATCCCAAAAACAAATTCCAAGGCGCGTGGTAAATCTCCGAAACGTAAAGTCACTGAGTGGTAAAAATATCCGAATATTGTATAGTAAGTGTTGATTGTGCCAAGGCATTTGAATTGGATGAACACTATAGTGGATGAATGGTGAATTGCACAGGGGAGAGGGAAAATGGGTTTCCAAAGGAATAAGAATATGAAAATAACTGTTTGGTTTTTCAGATGAACTGACGAATAGACCGTTCCATAAAATCCCCGACAAGCAGATATCTTGGAGAGTGTAGACATGGAGCTGATTATTGTAAGAGTTTANTCCACTTCTCTTCTGAAAGTCAACGCATGATCCATAATTTTCGAATATCGTTTATCAATCATGCTGTTCTACTCNGAAAGAGTGATTTTTACCCGGGTTCGATTCCCGGCTGGGTGAAGCGGAAATTTTTTCTCTCTAAATTCTAATTCTCTTAGAATTCTTTAATGCCTAAAGGAGGTTAGGCGGTGTTTGNGGTCTCTCCTGCTTAAACTGCGCCTTCTTCGTCAATTTTTTTTCTGCTGTTATTTGTTTTACTCCAACTCCACTCCTGAAAAGTCGAATGATTTCGTGAAATTTTGAGTTTGGGGAGAGGCTTTTTTTCGGTAAGGTGATACAGAATTTTTCGTTGAGATTCATGAGGAATTGATGAAAAGAAATGGAATGAAAACAATTTTATCCCACGTTTTTTGGAATATCTTCAAAATTAGAGGGTTCAGAGACAATGTCGAAGTATATTCTGTGGAGGTCATTNATTAGAGTGATGTTTATCACTCTTTCGTCTGATATTTCCATAGTCTCCAAGTTTCACTAACCTAGTAAAATGGATCCCAATNAAATGTTTTCGACAAAGAATCGCGATGAAAATTCGTAAATATCTATTGGAGCTACTCAAATAATCCTGGAATATCGTCCCCACTAACTGTAGCAAGCGTGAGCAGAAGACTGAAGTCATTGAAGACTTTCCTATTACCCGGAAAGCCTCGTTAATGGCTGCTTATTTCGTATCATTCGGCATTCACAATTAGAAAAATATTCCTCTCATTATCAGTTAGCTACACTGTTGATGATACTTAAATATCCGCATTTCATTTGATTTCCTTTCCTCCATTGTCTATTCAGGTTTAAAAGTAANTTTCCTATGTGCAATCAATTTGTGGGGTCAAACAAATAAGAGTTTTCAGTTTCTGGAATTCATCCAATACCCCTTTCTTGGTTTAGACACTCAATGTAATATTACACTCCAATAATTCGTCATTTTGGGAAAAAGTGATGCAAACCTATGTGGAGTCCGTGGCTAAGAATCTCTTACTGGGCAATATTTCTGGCGATTATTGAGACAGCTGATTTTAAGGTCTTGAAATGTGCTGAGCAGATAATAGGTCATTGCGTAATAAATTAATTGCTCCTGTATTTTCATTCGTGGATTTTATTGCATCTTTTTTCGTCTTTACAGTAGGAAATCAATTCACATGTTTTTCGAAAGTCCAATAATGATAAACTCTTACAATAATCAGCTCCATGTCTACACTCTCCAAGATATCTGCTTGTCGGGGATTTTNGGTTAAGAAAAATTCCATGGAAATTTTTTTTGTAGAGCGAAATGTGAGCTAAAAAAATCATGAAAATTTTGCGATTTCTCCTCATGTAGAAGATATTCATCACAGTGAAAACACCTCGATAATCTACAAAAAAAAATTTTATTCAGACGGGGATGAAGCCTCCTATCACGGACTAGATAACGAAAAAAAAGTTCGTCAGTCGGTGGCAGACAACTTTTCTGGCGATATTATTGTAATCTTTGACTTTGCTTCGGACTGCAAACACACAAACGCCAGAAAAGCTTTTCATGGCCTCAATGACAGAATCTACTATATAATTATTATAAAAAATACTTACATCCTATGACTATCAATACTCTCCTCCGATGGGGAGGGCGTTGTGGATGACTGCATTTTTGGTCAGCTCTTGGAGCCATGGGCATTCCCAAAATCTTCGTTTCCCTCTGAAGCTCCTGAGAGGCGGAGTTCAATCTCGGCATTCTCTCAGGTGATTTTTGTGTGAAAACTTGGACCCCCGAATTATTGGCTACAAAAACTTCAATTCTCAGTGAACCTCGAGTGTTTTCAGCTAATTCGACTTTAGAGATTTTTCTTAATATATACTGGACTCCGGGCTGAAAAAAATTAGAAAAAAATTAGGATCAAATGTTGTTCACAAAAACATTTCCAAACAGGATGATATATTCCTTTTGTCAAAATATATGAAGGATACAGCTTTAAAAAAAAATCATGAAGTGACATTTTTTGTAGAGAATTTCACGTCTTTGAAAAATGTTTTTTAATATTTCCCTTTAAAACCAACAGTTTCAGAAAACTATTCATAGTGATCGAATAGCTCAGTACTTTTCCAAACTTTTCAGAAGGTTTGAATAATTTTCTTCATCTCATAAAAACTAACAGGATGAATTAATTTCCTAAGAACATTGTCAGAAGTCTTGATCAGAAGATCCGGAGTACACCCATAATTTTGGAGTCTCTCCATAGCTGCGTATATCACCTAATCCTTTGTTTAACTGATCAACACAAGATCTAGCAGCAACTGGAATCGAAAATCTGAAAGACTCGCTTTTTCGTCCGAGCACTTTTGTGGCAGCCCATTTCGTCCACTGGAGAGCTCGAACGTCTCCTGCCAGTTATCTGTTATCTGTCTCTTCATTTTTCGGAGATTTCGCCAGCTTTTTCAGTTCTGATTTTAGGGAATTCGGAGGGTTCTTTTTAGTATTTCATCTCCATGGATTTTCCTTTCCTGGGGGCTTTGGGCTTCTGATGCTTAGAGATTTCAGCAACGAAACACTCCGACACTGTCTGCCTCTCTATAAATCCTTTCATGTTTTATCAGGGGTCCAGTGATTTTGTTTTTAAATGTCGTCAATTTTTCATTCAACCACTTACTCATAATTTTCAGGAGATTGTTTAAAGGTACGTGACAGGGGAACATTCATGTTCGCGAGAGGGACATAACCTCACTTTTATTATATGTAAATGGGTTAAGTGATGGGAAGGGGAAGACTCGGTCACGTGACTCCTGAACAATAATAACTTCATTCCTTTTTTATTAATTTTCGATGCAATATTACATTTCCAAATGAAAAAAACATTCTCACTATTATTTCCAAATTGTTCTACATCGATTAAAGTGAAATTTTATTAATTTCGGTCACTGTTTGCCAAGTATACGGCCCAACAGTTTTTTATTAATTACTGAATAACTATTTGTTTCCAAATTATGAAAAAGCGTTTCTAAATTTTTCCAAATCATCACCTAATTATTACAATGATTATTTTTGAAAAATATGTAATTTATTCGACAAGTATACGGTGGTCTAAGAGGCATGGTTTGGGTGAAACCATGCTTCTGAACATTGTAGAGAGGGCGTCGATACCCTGTCGCCTTATCTAGAAACCTGCCCAGCTGTGTTTGGGGAAAAAGGGCCAACGTACTGGCGTTCCAACTGGGCGATTTTAGAGGCGCTATCGACCTAGACTAGGGACCAACGGCTAAGTGAGAGGACTAGCCTCCCCTCGATTGCCATCGGGCTGATTGGTGGTGGTGGGATAACGCGAGGACCCACCGCCGCTGAGAAGTTCAGACTAGGGGGAGAAGGCCCTAGGAGATTTCGAGACAGACGGTGACAGACGCTGGAGTCGAGCGGATGAATTTTTCGGTAACTCGGTACCGGTGTGAGTGGCAATAATCCGCATGGATTATGTGGGTACCTTGTTAGGACAAGATCCGAAACAGCGAGAGAATGGGACGCTTCCGCGTCCCAAATAGAATGACTGGATTACTTTGAGAACGTGGGATTTTTTAATTCCATGTTCTCAGGGATCCATCACTTCGGACGAAAGAAGTGGTGTTGGCATGGATCCGTGGGCCGGGAGTTAGGCCGACTCCTGGAGGCCCGATTGCAGGTGCATCCACGACGAGTAATCTGGGTGTTGGCCCGCGATGATAGTGCTTTTACCGAGCATTGAAGATGAGTTGGGGTGGGCACAGGTGATTGAGAAAGAGTCTCCGGATACCTGTGTCGCATGTGCCTTTCAATGTTCGGCGCTCGGAGGAGTGAGAAGGATTCGCAGATATTCGTCGACATCTCTAGAGTTGAACCACTCTGGAGAGAAAGGAAACACGTCAGAGGAATGGAGACATCCTCGGCGAAAGACACAGGGGGAAATGTCTCCTGGAAGATACGCTTTATCGAGATCTCTTGGCTGAAAAGACGAAGATCGATCGAGTGAATACTCCTAATATGGTGGACCTCGCCCACTCTACCGTATTACGCTGATGCTGGCTCGACATATTTAGTCCCGCCACGAGAAGTCCTCAGGGTAGACGAGTCATCCTCTGAGGCCGGTTTACCGTTGGATTCTCCATGAAAATCCAGCTGGCGCCCAACAATTGAGCGATAGAGAAGATGCCAAACTAATTTGGGATCTCTGCTGGTGAAGCACCAGCAAAAATCCCTTACAGGATACATACTTCATCGTTACATTTAAGTATCGGTACTGGGCACTTGCGTTCGAAAGAGTACACTGTCGATATGTTTGTATGCATCAAGAAGCCCGAGCGAGTCATAAACCCGGCAACCCTCGATGATTTAACAATAGCATGAGTATGAAATAAATAATTCATTTCTCACGTTTTCTCAGGATTTTTTTTTCATTCTTGTTGAAATCCCATTTCATGAAAAAAGAAAAACTAATAAATCCACAGAACGTGGGGAGGGGTCTTGAATTTTGTGATGGAAGGACGGGAGGGGGTCTAAAATGTCCCTAATAAAATCTCATTTTTTTCCCCTCTTTCACAATTACTTCGGACGTCAAGGGACTGAACGAAGATAAGCATATGTCTCTCTTATCTATCAGCTGGATAACAGGCCTAAAAAATGACATGGAAGAAACTTTCCAAAAATGTCGATGGGAATCATTTTTATAATTGACGTTTTTTTGGCTGCGTTTCATATCACCCATAAAATGCCTGTGGAGGATGATGATAGCATGAGTAGCTAGATTTTTCAACAAAAAAGAAGGAAAGAAATGTTTTTGCTATTCATTTTCCGGTGCAAAAGACTTTCGTTGTGCCACGTTTAATTTTTGGTGGCCCTGAAAAGGACCGATTGTAATGCTCTTCATCGAGCTCTTCATGGCAGTTGCTGAAAATGACCTCCTCCAGCAGTCACAGAATCATGAATTCTCCTGAGAACTCCCATCCTCACATGCTGGAGCATTTCAGCATCCACATTGATTGCGGCTGCATGCAGTCATGCCACCAAGTCCTCCACGTTCTCTGATTCTGTCTCGTAGAATTGTTCCTTCAGACAGCCCCAAAGGAAGAAGTCTAGCGGAGTCAAATCAGGGGATCTAATAGGAGTGGAAATTTTTCATTTTCCGGTATACCTTATTTTTCTCGAGTAGTCTTACCGTCCAGGCCAGTGGAGCGGGCCAAAGCGACCGAATCAACGTCCAGGAAACTGCTCATTCAGGTAGGCGGTGACTTCTTCAGCAGAGTGAGGTAGTGCTCCATCCTGCTGGAACCACTAAGGTATAGTGCTAAGTGGTACTTCGTCCAGTATTTCCGGAAGGGTCTGCTGAATGGAAGCAAGGTACTGTTGACCCTGAGATGAAGAAAAATGTAAAATAGGAAGATTTTCCTAGGAGTATATCGTATGTGTGCGGATCTGTGCCTAATAAATACTCACATTTACATAATCCGGAAGCTGGGACAGAAGTACCTGATCACCCACTATTCCTCCTTACACGTTTACTTTCCACCGTGTGTGAAAATTTTTCTCCCTCACCAAGTGAGGATTTTCAACACCATAACTATGCGAATTATGCTGATTGAAAATGCCTTCTCTAATGAAAAGAGTTTCGTCTGTCGACATGATTTAGGACAAAAAAATTTCATTCTGGTAATACAAGGCCAGAAAATCTTGGCAGTAGCGCAGACGCTGCTCTGCATCTCCTGGCTCGAGTTTCTGGAGAGAAACGGATGGAGAGAATTGTCCAGCAGGATGCGATTCACCGTTGACTTCGAGCAGCCGGTCTCGCTTTGAATCATCCGACGGCTATTCATCGGGATTTCCTCCACGTATGCCAAGACTTGCTCTTCGTCGTTAAGACGACGTTCACGTCCCCCTCCGTGATCTGGCATCACCTGGCCCTGTCGCTTGCGAGCATCCACATCCTGGAACACTTGTGGATACGGATGTCGTCGATGGGGGTATTTCTCACAATATCTTCGCGCTGCCTCTGCTCCATTACAGTCACATTTACCATACATGAGGTGCATATCAGCGTACTCATTCGCTGTGTACTTCTCCATGATTTTGCAATTCACGTCTTACTCCGGCAAAGAATCAGATACGATTGACTCTCCCTCTCCAAAACACAGTATTTACCTCTTGTTTTTGTTATTCATCACTGAAGAAGCGTCCGAGAATCCCCAAGAACCCCAGTGTTGACATAAATAGAGAACAAAAGACGATGTGAATAGAGGAATCAAATTTCGTTTTCTGTATTTATTCTATTTACATCGTCTCTTATTTCTCTCCAGAATGTAAACATTGGTAGGTTGTGAAGGTTTTCGAAGTTACTCCAAGGATGAATGGAGGAAATAATATGTAAATATTGAGTTTCAACGAGAGAGAATCTGTTTGATTTTTTACCGAAATTATACTTGAGATGAAAAATGGAGCATTACATAGTGAACGAATATGTCGATATGAATTGTATTCATGGTGAATGCGAGTGTCATGGAGTAGAGGCAGTGCAAAGGCACCGTGATAGATGGCCCAATCGACGACATCCGTAACCACGTGCGTTCCAAACTATGGATACTCGCATGCGAGATAAGAACGTGAGTATCTCACAAAGCACAATGTCACGGCGGGACCTTGACGTCGGGAAAGAAGTCTCGGCATGTGTGGAGGAAGACTTGATAACTAGTTGTCGAGCGAGTGAAGAGCCATCGACTCTCTGAAGTTAATAGTTAATCGCATCCCGATGCACGATCCTTTCCACCCATACGACTATACAAAAGCTAGGAAACTCGAGCCAGAAGATGCGGAGCAGTGTCTGCACTACTGCCGAGAGTTTCTGGCCTTGTATCACCAAAATTAAAATTTTCGGACCCAAATCATATGGACATACGAAAGTATGTTCACTAGAGTAGGCATTTCCAATCAGCATACTTTCACTGATTATGCTGTTTATAAAATTTCCTTGGTGAGAAGTGTCTTCAGACACACTGGAAAAGCAGCGTATGGGGGAAGTGGTGGGTGATAGAGTTTTTCGTTCTCCACTGCCGGATTATATACTGGGTGTCCCATAGCATGTGACCAAAGTAAATTGCAATTAACTTGGATACAGTAAAATGTAAATAATTGTTCTCTTCTTATTGTACAAGGAACATTCAGCAAATTACAATACAATTCCTTCTGAGTGTCCACTATCACTTGTACTACAGAACTCTATCCTGCGTTCGAAACTGGTATAGATGCGCTGTATTATGTTTTTATCAACAGCTCAGATAGCATCCCTAATTGCGTCTTGCAACTCTCCCACCGTCATCGGATGCTTCTCATAGAACTTGTCCTTGAGAAAACCCCATAGGCAAAAATCGCAGTGATTTAAGTCCGGACTGTAAGGCGGTTCCCGCACTTGATCCCTAAGGAAAAAAACTTCCGGAAAAAATTTCCCGGAATAATTTTTTCCCGGAAAAAATTACTTGGGAATTTTTTGTTTCGGAAAAAATTACTTGGGAATTTTTTGTTTCGGAAAAAATTACTTAGGAAATTTTTTTTCCCGGAATTTAATTCCTTTTTTTTACTTCCTTGGAAAAAATGTCAGAAAAAAAATAGAATCCATTTTTTACATAAAAAATGTGCAGAAAATAATTTTAACAGAAGTTCAGGGAAATTTTAGACTTAATGGGCATATTTTGGCTTTAGATTCTAGCTGGAAATGTATTGAATGGTGCGATAGTAAAATTGACGTTGGAAGGGATAGCGACAATCGACTGGAGATTAATTTCCCCCACTTATGACACTGTTTCGTGTAGTGTTTATATTGTGCCGTGGCTAACACCCAAATATATATGTATCCTTGGGAATTTCGTAAGCTCAAAATTATTTCCATTAACACAATTCAAGTGAGTAGAGGTATAGGGCCGGTTCTGGCCCAACCATTTTGGGAAGGGTCTGGGGGTGACTTGCGAATGGGTGGTGGGATGGGATTAATTAATTCGCGGTTTTAATTCGCCGTTTCGATTCGCGGTTTTAATTCGCGGATTTCACTTTTCGTCGATTCGGGGGTCAAGAGCTATGGGAGAGTCCCCATGAGTGGATGATGGGGAGGTGGGGTATATTAATTCGCGTTTTAATTCGCGTTT